AGGTAAGCTTTCGCAATCCAAACCTCAGAAATTCAAACCTCAATTTTGTGCATTTTCGAATTTAGGGTTTCAATTTGTTGAGATTAGGTAGATTTTGTGCATTTTTTATATTAGGCTGATTCTATTCAAATTATAAAATCGAAAAAAAAACACACACACACACACAGTAACATTTATTCTTACACAGACACGTTTTACTTACTGCCCACCATTGTAGCGCCTGGAAATTAAGCTCTCCTCAAATCCCTCGAGCTCACAAAATTCATGTTCATTTATTCTTTTCTATTTTTTTCGAATTAATTTAGAATTATATAATTTCTGGGTTTTGAACCCTTTGTTTTAATATATAATTTATCGAGTTAATGGAGACTGATAGAAGAAAATCTATGGCGAAAGAGATGGGTTTGTTAATCTATGGGTTTGTTAATCTGTCGCCTCATATGGAGCCAAATGTAATAATTTTGAAGTTTGGATTTCTGAGTTCGATCGCGAAGAGAGGGAGAGAGAGAAAATTTTTCTGACCGTAATTTCGTTTTGAAGAGAGAGAGAGAAATTTTTTTAGACTGACTGTAATTGTTTGTTTTTTAGGGCATAACGGGAAGTTAAGCAAAAATTTACGGGGTTATCACGGAAACGAGAAGGGGGAGCGTGCGCAATCAAAGTATAATACAAGGGGGTATGACGCAATTTTTAAAATACAGGGGGATAACGCGCAGATTTCGTATAATACAGGGGGGTTTGGCGCAATTTACCCCAAAATTTAACGCCATCCCCCTATTATAATAGAAATATAATTATGAGAATGATCACGATTCTAAAATTCGGACTAGGCGGTGTCGGGGCGCCTCCAATTTACACAAATCGGCAGAAAAAAATCGGCCAGGCGGCTAGGCGGCGCCTAGGCGCTCCTAGGCGGACTTGGTGGGCTCAGCGTCCAGGCGGTTAGGCGGCGCCTAGGCGGACCTAGGTAGGGATGTAAATGGGTCGGGTTGAGTACGGGTTTTGGCAAACCCGAACCCAACCCGCATATAATTTACACTACCCAAACTCGACCCGTTACCCGACTAGTGTTTTTTGGGTTCGGGTTGGGTTTTACCCAGTGTTCTAAAAGTCGCTAGGCGCCCGCTAGGCGCTCGACCAGCGCCTAGCGCCT